CGGTACGGGGTTGTTGATTTCAAAAGTCCTACAGTGCCAAGATGGTCATGCCCTCCGGTGTTTCATGTCTGGCCCCTGTTTGTACATAGTGGTTGAAAAAGTATTGTTTATCACTTATAAAACAATATCGTTCGTAAATAGTCGCAATAAATATTAGACTGAGTTCTAGCGGTAATGATACTAGCTTTCGTCAAAGGAAAATAGAATTGTTAGAAGTGAAGCGCTGCCCGAGTTTGAAATCATCACTTTAACAAGTGAGTGTATAGTTACTTTCATCTTACACATAGATATGAAGTATTTAATATAAATTATGTGTTATGTGTGCATATTATCTGTGTTCTTGATATTCATGTTGGATGAACAAAATATGCATGTTTATTCGATTTAAACTTTATACGTACTTTATATCTATAATTATGATGGGTAAAGATGGGTAGATTAGAGATGAGAGATGATATATAAGATGAATGATGAGAGATGAAGGATGAGAGGTCAAAGATGATGAGAAGCGATGACCCAAGCGATGGCCCAGTCATCTAGCATAGTATAGATGACAATCGCGGACTATTCTAGACAATCCAGTGGAACACTAGCACGCTTGCAACTTGTACGTGGTGTGAACGATATGTTCATCAGATGTACTCTAAAAACCCATTGACATGTATTGTGGGTGGACTCCCTAAAATAATACTGTTAATAAAAGAGATAAACCCCTGCAACTATGGACTTAGCGCCTAACAAATAACATTGGCAGCTATGGACTTAGTGTCTGTTATACAAACCTCGGCAACGATGGACTTCGTGCCTATTCCTTAGGACAATCCTTAGGAATGAATGAGCGAACGATAGATGATTCTTAGGGTATATCCTTAAGAAATAAATAAGATAATGGGGATGGGTAATTGGGATAATTGTTTGATGATGAAACATAATAACTTTATTATTGAGGGTTGAAAACCCTATGTACTCACCAAGTTTCCCAACCTGACCCACTTAGTTTATTTGTATCAAAGGTGTCGATACGAAGCTACATTACACTGAGAGATTAAAGGAGATGTAAATCACTAGTGTAAATGAATGTAAGGTCTGTTTATGCTTATGTGTCTGTATCGACGCTGACATCCAAAAGTTTTAGTATAAATACATTTCTTTGGAAATGCTTTGATAAAATATTTATCATTTTTTCTGGGAGCAAATTCCGCAATATTATTCTTTAAAATGAATACTTTAATTTTCAAATAAGCATAAATAATTTTTTTTACATTGACCATTAATTTGGGGATCTCACAGTTGGTATTAGAACATTAGTTTAAGCGAACTTGGAATTTGTGGGAAATTTCTAGACTTAAACGTAGAATGTTAAGTGATGATCTTGAGGAGTGTTTGTAATATATTTTAGGTAGTACACCTGAATAGACACAAGCACTAGCTTATTTAAGGAAGATGCTTAAATTGCTTTTATGTGCTAAATGATTTATGTTATAAGATGCCTTATATGCTTTATGATGATATCGTTTGATCGGATCTATGGTCTGTTGTCGACCGGATCTGGAAACTTTATCTGTTCAGATTTCTAAACGTTTAATTACGATATTATAATTGGCATGTAACTTTTCGAAAAGAGAAGGAGATTTATACGTCTATCGTAAATAAATATTTCCTATCTACATTCTCGTCATTACACACCAAACGTCTGATTTGGTGCATAGATTGACATGGTGGATACTCGTAGCGGATTTGGGAATGCTAATGGTAATCAGCGGCTTGTGATTGAGCGTGCACAAGAAGTAGCGGATGCACCCGAGCCAATCACTATGGCATGAGTACAAGCAATGATTCAAATGATGTTGGATCGTCAGATGGAAGAGACAAGGAATCTACTTCAACTGAATAGGGATGAACCTGTTGTAGCTATTGAACAGCCTGAACTGAATGAAATCCAGTCAGAAGAAGGAAACTATAGCTGAAACGTTAACCAAGATGAACCGCCAGTGGTTAAGAGAAATAACCAAGACGAAGGGATTGAAAGAAACGGATGCAAGTACAAACACTTCACGAATTGCAAACCATCAACTTTTATTTGGAAAGAATATCCAATCAGAGTTATGGATTGGATCTCTAATATGGAGCTAGCTTTCATAACGTGTGGTTGCAAGGGCAAGCTACAAACCTGTTGAATCAGGAAAATGACCCTCTTAAACTTATCGATCCGAAGTCTACTCCTCTACCGCAACGGATCTTCTGCTACCGAAACCGTTTTGAAGATGTCATCCGTAACCTTCTCATCCGCAATGAAGACTTAGTTACTTTAGCTGACTTGTTATTTTACAATGTATTATCCAGTGAACTTTTCATAGTCACAATAAGTTAGCAGTTTATTAGTTGTTTATTCTCATTGTAAATTTTGAGACTCTATAAATAGAGTTCTCACCTTCATTGATTCATACATATCTATCTCTTTTTTCTATCTCTGAATTCTTATCTCTTACTATCTAAGATCATTCTAAACTCACTCGACTATTAAGATCAACTCTCATATCTCCTTCAGAGAAAGTCTTTAAGACTTCTTTCACTTTAAGCTATTCACATAAACTAACTTGGTTTGAATGCAAACCTTGTTAAGAATCTGCTTAGTGTTTACTTGATATAACTTGTCTTTACATTTCCTTTACGTTTCAGCACTTTACATTTCCGCATCTAACAAATCTAACGTCTAACTTAATATTGTTGAGCTTTCATCATCCTTTGAGATTAACTTATTCTGCAATTATCAACTTGTATTAATGTTTGTTCAAGTGTTTCCCAAAGTTCTTCTCTCAACAATTGGTATCAGCGCCAAAGTGGTCGCTTTTTAAACAAAACTCTAATTTTGAAAAGCCTTCTATACCATTGAAGCTCATTTTTTTTTTAAAAAAAATCTTTAAAAAAAAACAAAGGAAATGACACAAGCTTTATCACTCAATGTTTCTAACAGTGTTGGAGGTTCTAACCGAGCCCCAATACTTGTTGCAAGTGAGTATCATCACTAGTCTCAAAGAATGGAGAGGTATCTGAAAAGACTTGGTAGAGATGTGTGGAGATCTGTGGAAGAAGGACCTCATGTTCTAGTCCTTACTCCAGTTCAAGCTGATGGTGCCCAAGCTAGAGTTGGTGGAGGTCCGTCCCACTAAAGATGATCTTGATAAAATGGAAAATGATGTTGTGGCTTTCTATGAAATCTCGTGTAGAGTGGCCCCAGATAACTTTGACATCATCATCAACTGCAAATCAGCCAAAGAAATTTGGGATGTTATTAAAAATTTGTATGAAAGTTCCGAACAAGCTCAAGACAACAAAATCACCACTGCCCTCAATGAGTTTAATAACTTCAAAGCTCATCCAGATGAAACTCTAGAAGACTCATTCAAAAGATTCAATCTTATTGTCACCAATTTGTCAAATGCTGGCACCGTCCGAAGCAATCATGAAACAAATCTCCAGTTTCTGAATGGTCTGGGTAAACATTGGACTACGGCAAAAATGATAGTCCAAGGAGATAGGAAGATTCACACACTCTCTCTTTTCAAGCTGTCTGGTGAACTTCAGGCACAAGAATCAATAGTGCTAAAAGATTGTGTAGACTTCGGAGGACCACTTGCTCTCGTAGCCCAAACTCCTCAAACAAAAACCACTCATTCATATGAACCATATCCACTCTCTTATGACAACGCACCGCAATCCTATGAAGCCGATACAGAATATAATGATGAAGAAGAATTTCAAAATGTCATTGCTCTAGTTAGTCAACAAATCAACAGGTTACCACCAACCTCTTTCCTTAAAAATCAGCAGTTTACCAAACCACCCCTCAACCGTAACTTCAATCCACAGAACAATCATTCTCGATATCCCAGAAAACCTCACCAGTCTATGCAACCACAAAATTCTCATCAACCCAAAGAGGCACCGCAGTCCCTCAAGTCAACTGACTCCGGTACCTCAACTGAAGACAAGAATGATGTTATTATATGTCACAAATGCAACAAAGAAAATCATTTCCCTAAAGATTGCAAAGCCAATGTTGTGAAAGACAAAGCATTCTATCTTAGAATGGCTCAGGAGATGGAAGAAAAAGAGAAGGCAAGGGCATACGTGGCACATGTAAAAAGGGATCGTCAAGTTTGGTCATCTGGAGATGAAGGTGAAGATCATAACATCAAGGGCAAAGGAAAAATATGCATGGTGGCAACTGCTGATGAGGATGGATCAACAAAGTTGGAGAAAAACTACGAATTCATGGCGAAAGATGGAACACTAAGCATTATCGAACAGGTAAAACTCATGATCCAATCTAATAACTATATCATGCATGATTTGCAACCTTTCTTGGACAAAATTAATGACACTTGTGTTGTCGTCCTTTCAGACTATAACAAGGCATTAGTTGAGAAGAACATAGCGTCCCAAGAAATGTTTCATATGAGAGGACGACAAGAAGATAAGAGACATAAAGTTGTCATGTTAGAAAAGGTTCGTATTTTTCTTGGTCTTTAGGCAGCATGTTATAAAGAACGAACCAGTCATTGGGGTTAAAACAGGGTAAGTGTGTGAGAGTGAATTCGAAGAACTGGTTGTTTGAACCTCTTGCTACTTTGAACTTCGCGTTCGGAAAGCTATCAGTCTCGATTGGCCTGTGACTTTCACAACAGTTATCTTGCTTAACGACCAGGTTTCATATTCCGGCATCATATGCTTCAGAGAAAAAGAGAACAACATATGATTAGCCTCGCTATCAGTGGATGGAGCATTCGCCACTCTCACAAGCGAACAGAACCTGAAGGATTTTGGAGTGATTAGTAGATCCAGTTATGAGTCTCGTGTGTTGTAAAGATCAAACGAATCAACTGGCTCTAACCAATACTGGCTTGGTAGATCAACAACATCACTCTGGATTCGCTTCAAGGTCCACATAGGAAACAAGAGCTTTTTGCTTTGAAGAGTAGCATGAGCCTCTTTCTCAGCTATTTCCTTTTCTTTAGCCTCTCGGATGATCCACTGGTGCTCATCCAGTTCGGCTTCACGAGCCTTTCGCCTTTTAAGCTCGTGTTCGTCCAACTCCTCTTCGTCTGTACTGTTATCAACGATGGGTTCTTCACTAAACAATTTTTCCTTGCACTTAGGTTCTTTCTTGACAACAAGTTTAACTGGAGCTTTGGGTTCTTCTTTCCTTGACCCACCAGGCACACCTTTTCCCCCTGTTTCTGATTAAGGCTTTGATCTGAAACACCTTCAAGACTGTGAATCATGGCAAAGACTGGCCTTAACTTCTCTACCAGATGCTTGTGCATTGTAATTGTAATCATTGAGTCCCAGGTCTCAATGATATCCGAGAGCATGCCAGTGACATATGTGATACAGCTTCGCATGACCGCCCTCTCAGATAACAAATCATTGACCTGTTTCTCTAAAGTGTCCAGTTTGACACTCAACTCCTTTACTTCTTCATACTTGAGTGCAAGAAGAAACGGAAAATACCAAAAAGTTCGAATTCATAGCTAATAACATTGATTCAATTGGCATTGACATTATAGGAATATTTCGTCTATTAAGGAGGATTCCTATTCAGTCTGATTAGATATGTCACTGAAAGAAAGTGATTATGCTTCCTCGCGGGCCTTCCATTTTACCCTGGCTATCTAGTCATTGACCCATTTGCTTGCACCCGCGCTCCTGTCTCTATCAGGCGGCGACAGCCCCCACCTCCATAATACTCTCCTTTGCCAGTTCATCTTGAAGCTTGGAAATTTGAGAGGAGATGGAGGTCGAAACGCTTCATGGTCAGTTTTCAGACCAGTGCGAATCTCTTGCAACTTTGTCTTCTTAGTTTTAAAGAGAGAGCCCAGACTCTTTAAAGCGTCATTGGCTGTCATGGTGTTGGAGTTGAAGGTGGTTTGGAAGTTCTCCATGAAGGTAGTGGTGTCAGCAGTTAGTTTATTGACTTTTTCAGTCGTGCCCTTGCAAAATTCAGCAGAATCAACAACTGCTCTATTCATCTTTTCTGCATTAGCAGAATGCTCCTTCATGATTATGTCAAAGAGAGACTCAATTGCAGCTTTAAAGTATACATCAAAAGATGAAGCCTGGGAAGCGAGAAGCAGTTGATCAATCTTCTCGAGAAGGGACTGAAGTTTCCTTTTCGAAACTAGCATATTATCTTCACTCTCAGCCCGTATTTGGAAAGGACTGTAAGTGAGTCCCCCAAGATCTTCATCTTCAGCATCATCGAAGATCATATCCGAGTCGTCTCCGTTGAGAGGTGAAACAGGAGGTGAAACATGGGTTGAGAAACCTGAAGTTTTAGCCCTCGTATCAGATACGTTGACCGAAACAAGAGGTATAGTTGAGGGAGTAGGTGGAACTGTAGAATCAGTAAACAATAGGATAGAGATAGGAATGTTTATTTGTTGTTGTGAAGAGACTGGTGCAGGGCATGGTGCAATGGTAATTGGGATAGAGGTGGTGTTAGGTGAAGGAGGTGGAGAAGGAACAAAATCATTGAAAGTTTGAGTTACCTCAGGATTGGATGTCTCTTCTGTGTTACGAACATTGTCATCCTCGTTGCGAGTGTTATCATCCTCCTTGATGCGAATTTTTGACTAAGTGCCAGAATCTGAATCTTCGCTTGCACTTGGGGTGGGGGTCTTTCGCTTACGAGCTGGCTACTTTCGCCTTTTGGTATTTGCTGCAGAAGGAATAGTTTTCGCCTTTCAATTCTTTGGAGTGAATGCCGGCTCAGATGGACCCTCTTTCGTTTGCTTTTGCTTACCTACTTTTTCACCTTTTCATCTTCGTCAATAGTTTTGCGCATCTCTATGTAATGGTGCGAGCTCCTGAAGAGGGAAGCTTTTTGTACTCCTCCAAAATTTTACTTGCAGTTGGCACACAACAAAACTTTGTCTCCAAAATAGAGTTAGCAAAGGGAAACATCGAGTTGTCAGCAATGATGATCTTGTTGGTGTGAAAAGTCACAATCGACGACATCAGTGAATCTTTCATCATTGGCATTTTGTGTTTTTCAATCGCCCTTTGAACAACAATGGTCCAAAATCGAGCACAGGAAATCTCACTGTGTCGAGTCGTGGAGTGAGTACTTTGCAGCAGTTGAGCCCATAGAACGGTGCCATAATCCAGATTGATGTCATGGTAAAGACCATACATTAAAGTCATTAACAACTTACTGGCACAGTCTGAACCTGTGACTCGTTCAAAAAAGGCTTTGAAGAGATGAGTAAATAGACTATTCCATTGAGGAGGCAAGTTGGGTTTTCTGAACTTGGAGATTGAAGGAATGAGATCTTTATACCCCATCACATAGAACATCTCCACGATAGCTGCGATGGAGATTGAGTCTGGATTCACCATGGATTCATCGTAGGCAAGCCCTAGCAGAGAACAAAACCTTGACTTGGTGATAGAAGTTTTCTTGTCAGAGATTTCAAAGGTGATGCGTTCATTTTCCTTGATGTATGATGCTGAGGAATAAGCCTTCGAGAGTAGAGACATTGGGACGCACTCAACCTTAGTTAAGGCATTGACCAAAGGGGAATACTTTAAGCATTCAACTATTGGTACCATGAAAGAATCGTACTTGAATGGAGACAAATCAAGAATCAAGTTTTGCTTTTGTTTGATGGAAAGTAGTGAAGAGTGAGCGGTCTGATCAAGAACTAATGACGAAACGACCATTATTGCAGGTTGACGAAGAAGAAGAGCAATAGAGACAAATCGCCGTTAGGGTTCTTGAGAAAATTGGTAGAGGTAAAAAGTAACTTTGTGGATGAAAATTTCTTTTATACGATTATGCAAGAGAGAGAATTTGAAGCGTCAATTGATCGATTTCCTCTAAAACGACGCCTGAAAAAGCGGGATTTGACAACTGTAGCCCCGATAAAGGTGTCAGGCGGCGTGATAAGTGGAAGTGTTTCAAATTCCCCGCGCCTAAATTTCGAAATTATATCCACCAACAACTTCATCATTATCTTGTTCTCATCCTTTCAATCGCCAATCTTTTCAGTAAATACTCATACGTCCTTTCACATTTGAGACGCAAGGTAACTTGTGTGTATAAAACCGAGCATCATTGTATCTACGAAACTGAAAATGCCATAAGTACCTCGAATAAGACTTTTGGAAAAATCAGAGAGATTTTCGTGAAAAAGTGTGCCAAAGAAACAGAAATAAAGCAAGATATATCTGTAGGATATTAGTGATGTCTTAAAAGACATGAAACTATAGATCCCGGGCTACGATCTCATCCTTCAAAGTCAAGAAAGACTAAGAAGTGTCTATGTGGTTTCCCATTGAAATATGATCAAGTGTTTGACAAGAAACATTGAAAGGTATCTTTTAATTAGGTTTAATGGGTGGCTAACTCTCCAATCAAACAATGAACTTGATATAAGAACGAATGTTGGATGAAGTACTCGTGTGACCAATGTAGTCAGTTGAACGAGTAGGTATGGAATTATTTTTGTGACAAGATTAAACTTCGAAATCTCAAAAAAATAAAACTGGATCTTATGGGAAGAAGTGTCTGGGAACCAGAACACTTCATAAAGATCTCGCAAAAGAAAAAGAGATTCCTTGATACAGACCACGAAAGTAGCTTTCGTTAATTCCATTGTGAAAATCTAGAACATTTAATTGTTCACCATCAATTCATGCAAGTGTGTTGGATTTGGGGTTTCACTAAGTTCGTGGTGAACGAAACTAAGATCATTAACACAGATGTTGTGTAACCATAAACCTTAATGGTATAGCTGAGAGTCTCAAGGGTTACATTTATGAGTGCGAGGGCAATGGAGAATTGTGAAGGTGGTTCCAGAAAAGCGAATGTACCTCTGCTAAACGAAAGTGACTAAGCAGATAACTCTTAACTAAAAGTGAGAAGAGTAAGGTAGCTCATGACTAATCTGAATTTAACAGCCTGATTGGGAAGAAACGATTAGTAGACTCGATTCATTAAGGCTTCACAGCGAGTCAATTGAGGCTTTGGACAACATACATCAGTATGCTTCTAGGGACACTTAGCTAACACATAGATAAAGAAGCTTATACCTGCCCTATCACACGAATTGAGATTTGAATATGTGCCTCCATGATCTTCTTAAGATATTTTTGGTGTTTTGAAATATGTGAAAATAAAAGAAATAAAAATAAATACAAACAAAATATTTTTGTATTTTGAGATTTTCTTAAAATGAAAAAAAGTAGAAAAAAAATATTTCTAAATTTTGAATAAAATAGAATTTAAAGACATAATGTACAAAGGAAAACAAAATAATTCCAAACAAAACACAAAAAAAAATGTTGATGCGAATTAGGGTGAACGTTCGTGTCAATTCGTGTCCCGAAAAAATCATAAACGAATTAGAGCGAGCGCTCGTGTCAATTCCCGTGACAAAAATAAAATTGAAAGCAAGCATAAAAGTTATTTGAAGCGAATTAGGGAGAACGTTCGTGTCAATTCGTGTCTCGGAAAAATCGGAAACGAATTAAAGCGAGAGCTCGTGCCAATTCGCGTAACAAGAATAAAAACGAAAGAATACCAAGAGAGAGAAAAAAGAACAAATATTTTTGTATTTTTGGATTTTTCAAATAAATGATTTTTGAATTTTTGAAACATTGTACATAAAGTACAAAAGGATATTGGAAAAAACGAACCACAAATGAACATTGGACAGCGAGTCACTGCGAGCGTTCGCATCGATTTGTGTCGACAATTTTATTAAAGCGAAGGTGGTTTTGGTACAGATTCAGCTTTCATTATTCCTAGGTCTTGAATAATTCTATTGAAGGTTGTTTCAGGCAAGGCTTTTGTGAATATGTCAGCCAACTGATCAGAGGATCTCACGAAATGAATTTCAACGTTGTCGTCTTCTACGTGATCCTTGATGAAATGATACATCATTGTTATGTGTTTCGTCTTTGAGTGTTGCACTGGGTTGTGACAAATGCGAATAGCACTTTCAGAGTCACAATATAGTGGGATTCGTTTAATGCTTAAGCCATAGTCATGAAGCTGACTTTGAATCCAAATGACTTGATATGTACATGAGGCGGCAACTATATATTCAACTTCAGTTGTTGACAAGGACACAAACGTTTTCTTCTTGGATTGCCAACTGACAAGTTTCCATCTAGAAATTTGCATCCTCCAATTGTGCTTTTTCTATCTAATACACATCCCCCAAGGTCAGCATCCGAAAATGCTTGTACGAAGAAGCCTGATTTCGCAGGGTACCATATGCCAAGGAAAAAGTTAATTGGACCCACGGAGCTCATCTGAAATTTTGTTTCCATCAACTTTTGGAATTCAGCTGTTAAGCTGGGACTCGTAGAACCAAAAAGGATGTCGTCAACATAAATTTCGAAGATCATCAAATGGTCACCCTCTTTCTTGTGAAAGAAGGTTGGGTCAACTGAACCTTGTTTAAATTTGGACATTTTAAGGAAGCGAGTGAGAGTTTCATACTAGGCTCTTAGAGCTTGCTTGAGACTATAGACTGCCTTGCCTAAGATGCAGTAGTGATTGGGATACTTCTCGTTTACGAACCCAGGAGGTTGTTCCACGTATACAGTCTCTTCTAATTCTCCGTTCAACAAAGCACATTTAACATCCATTTGAAATACCTCGAAGTTCTTGTGCGCTGCGTATGCCAAGATGATGCGAACAGATTCCAACCTTGCAACAGGTGCGAAGGTTTCTTCGTAGTCGATGCCTTCTTCCTGAAAATACCCCTTGACCACGAATCTAGCCTTGTTTCTTATAATATTCCCTTCTTTATCCATTTTTTTGCGAAACACCCACTTTAAACCTACAACAGATGCATCTGGTGGAGTTGGCATTAGCCTCCAAACTTTGTTTCGTTTAAACTCGTTGAGTTCGTATTGCATTGCTTGCACCCAATCAGAATGTTCAAGAGCAGCATTGACCATTTTGGGTTCTACCTTGGAAACGAATGAGTTAAACATACAATATTATACCTTAGAG